TATTTGTATATATTATAAATATTAAATATTTTTAAATTCAGCGGCCTGCGATAATGTTAATTGTTGTTTATTCCAAGCCAAACTGATATGATATTTTCATCCATGAAAGTGATATAAACCGTTTTTCTAGTGATATAAACCGTTTTTTTTCTAGTGATATAAACCGTTTTTATTTACTGTCTGGTTTGGTGAAATCGGCCCTTAATAAATTTGAATATTATTTTGTTTTAATGGTTTGTTGATGTGATAATGACATAATGTGATATTACCTACTTATTACTTTAGTTGTTACCACGTTTATAAAGAACAGGTTATGCTTCATTGCGTCGGAAGGAATATTTTCGGTCAGATTTTGTTACGGCGGTGTAGTTCTTAAAACCGCCGAGCGCTGCAAGTCATCCGTGTTACATAATACATATTAACATTTTCCTATACAACCATGTTAAACTAATTTTTTAATTATAAATTGATAAACCTTTTGTTTTAATATAGCGTTTCATTCATAGGTATTCATAGACCTGCATTTTGGGTGTAGCCTACTGTATTTTTAGACCTCCCTTTTTTTATTTCGGCCCTACTAACAATGTATACAAACTTTGATAATATTAATTTATTTTTCATCAACCTAATTGAATTATTATTATTAATTATAATATAATTTTTTAAGAGATATGCAATGGTGTTTTAAAAATATTTTGATAAATTTAAATTATTTAACATTATTGTTTATTTTTTTTAGTGGTTTTACAATGTTTGAAAAATGCCTATTGCCTAGTAATTTAATAAAATGTTCTTCATAATTTTGAAATGGAAAAATCTAACTAATTCACTACAATAGGGGCCAGTTCTAAAGACTTAATTGTGGGGAGGGTGGGCTAGATCATAATTTTCACAAATGAATAATAATTATTCGGTGACGATAAAAACTATATCTCAATACTCAGTATGTGGTCACGTACATTAGGAACCAGGAGTTAGAAAGTGTATGTACATCATTGTGTTTTTTAGTATTTAAAAGTATAACGTTATTCTGTGTGGTACAAAGTAAATAGGTACATTTTTAAAAAGTACATTTATATATTATATATTAAATATACCAATTCGAGCCCTAATGTAGTGCCAAAACTAGAGTTTATTGGATTAAATTAATTTAATCAAATCAACTCTACATATCAGATGGTAATTTCCTTTTTTTCACTGGGTTTGCAAATATTTTGGACCCGGAAATATACTTGGAACAGCATCATAAGCAAGCTTTGCTCGTTTTAAATTTATCTAATAAAAACGTTTACGACATTTTTATATAAAAAAACGATTCAGTAAACACAAGGATAAGTTACAGTAGCTAGGTACTACCGTGAAATTTTGAAGCACCAGAACCAGATTCCCAAGTTCTACAATTATTATTTAATCAGGTGTAAAATGTTTTTCACAAATCACTGTCTTTGATTTGACAACAATGAACAAGATTAGCACGAGGAAATGATTTTTTCCCTCAAAATTTAATTTTTAGGAAGTGAAACTTTTTCTGGGTTTGATTATATCCTGACGTACAAAACGCAAAATAGCAAGAAGTTCTTTATAATCGTGGTTTGTTCTGTTTAGCAGGGCTTGAACCGCTCCTGAAGAAATAGGTTACCGGTTACTACTAACCTCGCAAAACCGTTTTAAAAGACACAACCGTTTTTAAATGCAAAGTAATTGCATTTATAAATTATAATAATAAATAGAGTGAAACATAGGCGGAGTATAATAAACAGATATATTATTTAATAATGTATATATACCACATACCAAATAATGTGGGTTCACATTGGTCTTAACCTCTTACGGCTGTGTAGTAAAAAACATATTGGTTTCAAAGTGACAATTGCACACTCTAAAGTTTTTATTATTCGCACGAATATGTTGTTCCCGCGTTCCAATAAATCGGTCCTGTTGCAACTATTAAGCCATTATTGTATTAACCTATAAATATTCAAATCATTAGGTGGGTACACTTTATAGAATTATTAATTACAATTATTAAGTATTAGGTATTTTTAAATACCTCTTTCCTCCATTTGGAATTGCATACGATGAAACTGCCGAATGCATTGAACGATTTTCACAACGGAAAACGATGCACCTCGTATTACTCATAATAATAATAATTTAATAATAATAATAATTATTGTTATTATTGAAATAAAATATTTAATTAACACTTGAGAAAAAAAAATTAGATCTGTTAGTAATGCTATACAACAAACGACTGAACGATTGGAGTTAGAGATGTCGATCTCATCGATCGAATAAATAAGGGAGCGCGCATGCGTATTAAAAAACATTATTATTATTTGTTTTTATTACCTTTGTACATTATTATAGGTCAACGATTATAAAATAAAGGAAAAAATAAAAAAAA